CCGTTGCGTCCAGAGCGCGCTCAAAGCTCTTTCAGCAGCTTCGCCCAGTTGTTTAGTGACCGTTTACGCTCGTTTCCTCGCAAGCCTAGCTGCTTTAACACATTGTACATGTAAGTGGAGATAAGACCTCTTGCACCTACCTCGACTGCGAAGATTTTAACCGAGTACGCGTTGTCTCTCCTCAGACTGGCCGCATGCTCGAGCTTGTATATGTGATTTTTGTCCATTCGCCACTTATATGGCACGGTCAGCTTAATCAGGGTGAGCTGGCGTTTTTTCGTAGAGTGTAGGACTATGTCAAATCTTATGCCGGTTTTCAGGATTAACTCTAGGTACCTCTCGAAACCAAGCAGTTAACCAGTCCCTCGCACAGTTAATTATTGATGGAGAGTATGCGACTTTGTTGATTTTACTTTTATAAATTTGGCCAGCTTTGAGGAAGCGCGTGGGGGTGACGGTAAGACTTGCCCTCGCATAGGTCCTCATCCTAGGCTGGTTGGTCAACAATGTCTGCTAACCCTTTTAGGACTTTATTGTGGTGCCAAGTGAATCTTTACTGGCCTAGGGCTTTTCTGCACGCGGACAATACGTAATTCAGCGTCTGCTTAGCTGTGCAAAGTGGGCAGCCATTTAAACGCCAAACGGGAACATGTCGTACGTAGATCTTACGACAAAGCTCAGCCACTACGGGACCATTCGCCAGAGTTCACCCCATGTGAGTACTCGTGGCAGGGCGCTCTCGAGGCCGACCCACTGGCCTTGCTGCTACTGTTGTGCGGTTTTTTGGACATGAGTCCTCGGCGTCTCTTATCTGCTGTATTAGCATGTCTTTGCGCTCTTTGGCCGTGGCTTTGGACGACCAATTGACTTTCCTGTACCCTAGGCCTCGACGGTGGGTTTGTGTGTAACCCATGACTTCCTTTAATTTCAGTACATCTTAAGCAGATTATATCGCATCTAGGACCTTCCATTTCTCACCTCTACTTGCAAAGACTATACTTCAAGGAAAATTGGGGGGGGGGGGGGGGGGGAGGGAAATCGAAGAAAAGGATGACAAAGAAGAACAAGGTATGGCAACATAAAAAAAAATGGACAGGACTAATTTACCACACATTTACATTACTGAATGCGGAGAAAAATGGCGGGTCTTATCTGCTAGTGCTTCCATTAATACACCTGTACAACCCTAACGCGCCAAGGGGTTAATATGTGTGTTGGTAAATTTGTACTATCTGGGTATGTGAGAGCATATATATGTGTGCGTGTGTATATTTCATAATATAAGCGTTTGTGGGTATGTGACCGAGAATGTGTGTTCAAATTTGTGTATGCGTGTTTCTCTTGAATTTATTTATTGTAGTGTTCGGCAGTATTTAAATTATCTTATGCAACCTCGTCCATGCATAATGTGCCGATTACAATATGATTGTTTTTTTCATGTTAGTGCATTAATCTTTCTCCCTTGACTTCTTTTGGAGATTCGCGTGGTATACGTCCTGTCTGGTATCTGCCCAGTGATCTAGAACTTATTAGGAATGTATACCAAGGTGTGTGTGTGTGTAAATATATATATATATATATATATATATATATATATATATATATATATATATATATATATATATATATATATATATATACATTTAGGTGTCTATGTGTGCCAGCCTGTGTGCGCGCGCACACACACACACACACACACACATGCACACATACATATACACGATGACGAGTCGAGCTTAGAAAGACCTCTTGACCGGATTTGGTCTTAAATTAAAAAAAAAAAACTTGTCCATTGCATCTCATAACCAAAAATGGAAGGACCGGCTTTCAACAGCAAACTGGTTATTCAACGATGACACACAGTGTTATAGATTCACGTATAAATGTGCCTGTTTGTTTGTGCTAGTGTGTGTTTACTTAACCAAAATAGATACAATATAGAATAAAATGTTCTTAGAAAAAAAAGCGTCCGGCTTAATCTTCTTCTTCTTAGAATCCATGCCGTGTGGCGTTGGTAGTCACATCTATCCACAGCGTTCTGTCTCCTGTACTTTCAGTCAACTCTGACACAGATGATCCTCCATGCCACGATGTCAAACTGTCCAGCATCTTTTCTCTCGGTCTCCCTCTGCCTTTCCTCCCCTCCAACTTTCCTACTTTCATGATGTACTCAAGTTTTCTCCTTCTCATTATAAGACCAAAGAATCTAGATTGTCTATTTCTGACGTGTGCAGTTAGTTCTCTTCATAAGCCATTTTCTTTCAAGACATCTTTATTACTCTTTTTATATGTCCAAGATATTCTCATCATTCGTCTATAAAACCACACCTCCACAGATTCCAAATATGTTTTCACCAAGTTATTAACTGTCCATGATTCACACCCATCATCAATATAGGATAGATAAAGCTTTTAAAAATTCTCTTTCTCGTCCTAACTGACAAAGAAAGATCGCGTACAATTTTCTTTATTTTGTAAAATGCTGCCTTTGCTTGAGCTATTCGACATTTAACTTCTTTAATACATCTTCCATCTGATGTTATCTAAGTACTTAAACATATCAACTTGCCTGAGGTTGGTCCCATTTACTACTGCATTTTGGAAGGTCAGTTGTCTCTGTTTCGGCTTAATAATAGCAATACATTCCAAGTGGTACTTCTTCTTCTTTGTTCACCCTGCTGTAAGCTCCGACGGAAAATCCTTGTTGTTCGTCCATTTGAGATTTGGCTTTGTGCCAGAGACTGAATTTGGCGTGTACATCCGTTTTACTGACTTATTTGTGTGCAGTTGATTGTTTCTTGCCGCTCGGGCTGATGCACTCCGACTATCAAGAAAGTTCCCACTAAGTCGACTCCTACGACATGCTTGCAGGGAAGGCAGTGGGTCTGTTCTTGTTTCCCTACAATGAGGCTCCGGAACCCCCAAGGAGACCACACGGAACCCACTCAGGGACCAAGGGGTCCATAACAATATGTTTCTTGCACCATTACCCGGTAGTATTCATAGCTTAGAAAAAAGTCCCGTTGTTTTCTTTATTATGTTTTTTTTTTTTTTTTACATTGGTTGTCATAATTCACAGACATCGTGCGATATCACGGGACAGGCCGTAGAAACACTTGGTAAACAAACAATCGTAGAGTGAGAACATGGCCAAGTCTTGCTGGGAAAATTCTGCCCGTCTGCTTCGAGTCAACGGGAATGACTGTTTCAACAGAAATTACGGATCCAGTAATTGGTAGCAATGTGACAAAATATAACATTCGAGGAGTTACTGGTGATTTGGCTGTGTGATTTGGATTGCGTTATGAACTCTATCCTACATGTTTAGTTTAGTCGTAGCCCAAATCAGTAGATACTTTTGGCACCTCGTCCAATAACAATGTTTGACGGTTGTTAATCTTCCTTTTCGTGGCTTTTATCGTTTTTGTCCACATTTATTTATGTCTGTCTTTTATTTTCTTGTCTTTTCATTCTATTTCTTGATGTCTTTCCTCTTCGTTCTGCGTTTTCGTATTTAAGTCATCGTTGGAAAATTGTCTGCAATATTCTGTCTTAGTTTTATTTTAGAAGGTTTTCTTTTCTCCTTCGTCTTCTATTTATTCTTTTTTTTTTTCGCTTCCTTCTCCTCCTCTTGTGATAATCTCCATTTTCTTTGTCTTTCCTTTTTTATGGGGTTGGGGGGATGGAAAGGGGGGGGGGGAATAAATCTACATGCGATTTGAAGACGATACAGTTTTTTTTTTTCGTCTTCCCCAAATGATCTTTCCTTAGTCGTTAACCTTCATCATTTTAAACCCATCATATGTAATCACCTCTAATATCTGACTATTTCGCACATAGTGTTCAGTTTTGATATTTTTTTTATTCATAACAAATTATGCGTCTTAAAATGTAGGAAAAAGAAAAAAAACCAAACCTCGGTGAGTTTCCTTCTTGGCTCGCTTATCATCATCATCATCATCAGTCCACTTCTGCTGCAAAGCGTTGTGGGAAGGAACATTTCGCGAGCCATTTGCTTTAGGGGCAGCAAAAGCTATTGTCACTCCGTGTCGACGAAGAAGCTCTTTAATTTCACTAACCATACTCAGGTGGGGTGACCTCCTTCTTTCACGTCAGATCGTTTCATGTGTAGCGCCCGCGTTTGTAGTTGTTCTGCCTGCATTTTTACTAGATGACCAAGCCATTTGATTTTCTGTTTCTCAGTTAGTCTGTTGCATGGTTTTGTTCCTACAGTCTGTCTGAAAATATATTTTCTAGCTTTGTCACGGATGGTTAAGTTGGCGGCTGTTTTCAGGCATCTAACTTCACACATGGTAATTTAAGTAGGCTAGCTTTTGATAATGTCTATGTTTGACACTGGCAGCACAGCGTTGGCACAGATACGCTCATATTTATATTTGGATGTCCTGATAAAGGTGTCAGTTGGTATGCAAGAGCGCTAGCTAGTTGACAACTTGTTTCTATTTTCCAGCCTATTCTCACGTCCTCCGAGAATATACTTCAAAGATATTTAAATTCTTAAACTTGCTTCAGACAAGTACCTTTCAACTCGATCTATAGCGAACTATAAATTATAATTACCTGTATTACCTCAGTTTTACTAGTATTTATTTTCATGTTAAATCTTCCTAGCCCGTTAAAATGGTCTTGAAGTCTTCCCTCATGGAAGAACAGGCATTGATCTCTCTGCAGACAGTAGTTCGTTTTTTGTAGTGGATCTAAATCTTCCTCGCTCGTTTAGTTCAGTGACCAAAAGCAGTGCACAATAAAAACAAACTGAAAGAATCATCAAAAATTTCCTTTCAAATAAATAAATAAAATACAACGGAAGCCATAATTTTTCGACTAGAAAAAAAAAAAAGTTAATTTTTAACAGATAGCTACTGGTAATTGTGATATTTGGGAAACAGTCTATTACGCCTGATGCGTTGTCTAGTACTAAACGAGTGAAGTCATATCACAGCTGTTTTCAAATCGCAGTCTGTTTGATCTATTTTCAGTTGTCACTTCAGTAGAGCCCAAATTTGACATGCCGACGGTAAACGTGACAGCTCAGGAAAAGACAACTGCAGAGCTGCCTTGTTCCGTCAGTTCACTAGGAAATTATCAGGTAATCGTACGGAAAAAAACCCTAATCTGACGACCACATTCATACATACATTCATACATACATACATACATACATTCATACATTCATTCATACATAGACAGACACAGACAGACAGACAGACAGACAGACAGACAGACAGACAGACAGACAGACAGACAGACAGACAGACATACAGACAGACAGACAGACATGCTTTTGGACTTAAATAATATAGAAAAATTCTCAGGGCATCGTGGGCCCAGTAAAATAAAATGTTACGGTCATGAATATAGACGACGACTGGCTTATAAAGGGTATTGTTGCTCGTAAACTGAAATACTTCGGTAATGTTATACACAGCGATGATTTGAGGAAAACAGTAATGAAGGGCTTTGTTCTTTGTATTAAAAGTAGGAAACGACCAGAACGACGATAGAAACAGGAAATCAAGGACACACTTGACAATGAAAGTTTACTATATTGCACCGTTTTCGAAGGATCGTATGGCTTTCCGTCGAGCCGTGATGTCAGCGACGTTCTCAAAAGAACAGCTTGCTTGACGATACGATGGAACCAAACAATCATTCCTCTTCTATAAATAAGAGCTACGAATCAATCAACATTCCTTGGTCGAGTCACGAGAAAGGAAAGACCCTGCAGAACATCGTAATGGTTAGTAATGGGGAGGGGGATTTGAAAAAAAGTGGGGGGGGGGGGGGTGTAGAAACATGAACGATGTAACCTTTTCATCATTGTCTGTAAAAAAAAAGAAACAACGGCCCTTGAAGGGGTTTGACAGACACTCCTGATTCAGTGGAGATTCAATAAAGACATAAACAAACTGCAACTCTCACCAGTGGTCATTGGTCTCTCAAACACTAAACTTCTTCAAGCCATAAACCAAGAAACTTTAGACAATATGATTACCAAGAGAAGATGGAAATGGCTTGGCCACGTTATGAGAATGACTTCTGATATACCTGCCAAAACAGCCCTCACATGGACACCAGAGGGAAAGAGAAAACAGGGGCGCCCAAAAACAACATGGAGACGAACGATGGAAAGTGACCTGAGTGCAGCATCTTTGACATGGAAAACTGCACTGAAGATTGCACAGGACAGGAAAGCATGGAAAGTCCTCTCTGAAGCCTAATGTGCCATTAGGCATAACGAGAACTGATGATGATGATGATAAACAAACTGCAACTCTCACCAGTGGTCATTTGTCTTTTCGCTGCCTGCTAAAGATGGACACTGCACTTCTGGGAATCCCATGCGTTCTGTGGTGTTAGACCTTAACTTAACAAATTATTGGTGCTCCAGGTAAATGACCCACAATCCTATTACTATTTCAGGTAGTTTGGACTGACCAGTTTTCCACCTTGCTGACATACGAAGATAGAAGGATTATTGATGACGAAAGGTAATTACTTCACTTGAACACGGTTTTGTAAACTATGCAAATAAACTGTATTCCTGCAGACTTGTCTGTCTTTTCTTTTTCTTATTGTTTACCAGCTGTTAACTTCAGCGTTCACTTCTGATTGTTCGTCCATTACTGAGCTCTAGTCTTGTTCCATAACTTGAGTTCTGAGTGCACGTTGTTTTAAAAGCAGATCTGGTTTATTTATGTGTTGTCTGTTGGTTCCTCGACTCTCATGTGTATCAACATCGACATAAACACTCCTTATTAGTCGAATATTACAACAGAAAATGTCTGTCACTCAAAATCATTTATGACAACACACTTTATATTTACACCAATGATAAAATGTGTAACCTTGCAGGTAGAATTTTTACCAAATGTACTTGCAATATTAAAGTAAAATTTACTCCCAGATTTTAAATGCAATTAAAACAGTCCATTTTTAAATGAATCGCATGTCTTCGATTCGACTATCATATTCAGTCATCTCCTTGTGAGTTGCAATTTTTCGTTATTTCAAGCCCCACCATGGCTCTTGTCAGGGGCCGCAATATAGCCCGAACATAAATATGGTCTAATGGCTGAATGCGGTTTCTGGGACCTCTCCGTGGTGATCCTCATCCACATGGTGGCACTTTGTGTCATCGGGTGTTTATCGCTTGTGTGATGTCCTAGTGGGGTAAAAATCTACTACTACTACTACTACTACTACTACTACTACTACTACTACTACTACTACTACTACTACTACTACTACTACTACTACTACTACTATTAATGTCTTCGACTTCAAAGATAATATTTATGATAAGTGAGGACTTTGATAGCAGCTCCAGCTTGCACCCCATGTCCACCAACTAGGACAGGGATACAGAGTCAAGGCCTTAATGTTTCCGTTATCTGCCTCTCTCATGGCATTGAAGACAGACCCTGTCCAGGACTAGACTCGTCAGGGATTCGCCGTGGTGTTAATACTAGACGCTCACCGACGGATCTAAAGGTCGTTGGTTCAAATGCCAACAAAGCCTGGCTGCTTTCCGTAATGCCATTGGCTCACGGGTCGACTCAGCGTAAAACTGTACAAAGACAGTAGTGGGAAGTAAAAGCGGCAAGTGTGACGTTAACCCAGGGGGTGACGATTGATCTATAAAATATAGGTCTAACAATATAGGTCTAACCCAATACATCTGAAGGCGTGGGAGATGGTCTTCCATTTTGTTGGATTAGTCACAGCAACCACGTTTCCCGCCGATAATCTCTTGCCATGAATACCTGCATGGCCTGGCACATAATTCAAGATTACGCTGACCATATGTTACTGAGTCAACCAATCTTGCCGATGAAGCCAGTCTCGAAATGTTTGATATACTCAAACAGTGCCTTAGAGGTTAGTGAAAGCGTTTAACAATTTTATGATGCTCGAGCACTAGAATTATATTTCGCGGTGAGCAGTTTATTAAATAGAACTCCGTTCTTGTGGTTTATGGACAGCAGTACGAGAGCTGCACCGTGGAAGAGATTGGTTCTCCAATCACCTACTATCCCCAAAGATGGTAGCAGGTGCACTGTAGCCAAACTTCATTGCGGAGACACTACATATTTATTATTGATGAGTATCACTGTGGCCAGGAGAAAACAGTGATGGCAAGTGCAGTCTCCACTAAACGAGGCAGCGGCCGACTTCTACGAAGGTGGATACAGGACATTAAAGACGCATTGGATACGAAAGCAGACAGTGCTGGAGAAAGGCTAGACAAAGAGAGAGACTTTCAAATGTTCGACATTCTGTAAAGGACCTGCTGTTTAATGATGGTGAAGTTTAGCAGGAGGTAGAATTTGCTGAATCCGTAGTGCAAGAAGCCAGATAAGAAGCGTAGATTGCGTTTTCATGTTCCGACTACACGCAGATAGATTTTTTTTTTTTTTTTTTAAAGTTAATAACAATAAAAACATAGTGCGAAAGTTGGGATTGGCATAAATAAGCAAATCATACATTTAGCCTTTCCTGGGACAGAAAGGGTTTTAGACATAAATCTGGGATCCATCGTCAGCCCAGTCTAAAATATTTGCCTAGAAATATGGGAAGTTAAGACAGCCAATGTGATATTGACCATCCAATCCATATAAAATTTAATGGGCTACAAAAATACTGAACGAGCAAAATATACCCAAACAGGGGCGCCGACATAAAGAAAATGAATTGCGGACAGGCCCCTTAAAATTGTCTCCTTGGGGTCTCAAGGGACCTCACCTTGTTTGAATGCTTAATAATAGTAATAATCCATGGAATTAGCTGCGTGAAATAGCAAAGGAGAGGCCGACTAGGCATGAGTTGGTTGAGGGCCTATGCTCGATTAACGGATTAAAGTCATAATAATAATAATTAGTATAATAATAATGATGATGTCAATAATAATAATAATAATAATAATAATAATAATAATAATAATAATAATAATAATAATAATAATAATAATAATAATAATAATTTGCTGAGTGGTACATTGATATTATAATATATTAAAAATTTTATTAAATATATAAGCAAATCTTGAAAAGGTAACTTCTATCAATAGTTTCGGATGACGCGTGATTTCTTACAAACATAGGCGGGAAATGGGGGTGAGGGGGGGGGGGGGGGGTAAATAGTTCCGACACCCTGATACACAAAAAGTCTGAGAGGCGATTGTACAGGTCTCCTGCCTGTGTTGACTAGTAAACCCCTACAACCGCACCAATTGTCACATGTACTAGGCTGCACTGGGGAACTAAAGTGTCTATAAAGGCTATCTCATTCCTGTATTACGATTGCAGGTTACTGAGTAACAGTAGGGGTGTACCCTAATATAATTATAGTTTCGTCGCCCAGCTTCTGAGTTGATTGCATGGCGTAACACTGAACACTGTGAGCTACGTGTGTTTTTCGTTGGAACAGGAGCGGAGCAACAATGGGGTGACCCGTTTGCTGTGAAGCTGAAACTAGGATTACCAGATTACCTAATATAATTGTAATGAACGGTTGAACAGGCTCTCCTGGATTGCTCCTGTTTACACTCACTGGGTTGTGTTTATTCTACGGACAGCAATCCTAGAGGGGAGCAATGACCACTGCAATGTACATGCTCAGAAAATCGCAACAGATAGTATGCACGAGTGGCCAGAATGTCGCACTTGCCATCCCTCACCTGGATCTATCTATACACCTGGCCGTGAAAGGTAACGAACTAGGGAACCATCTGGCAAGCAATGCATCCACAGGTGTGGGAAGAGGCATGCAAAGGACAAATATCGTCAACGCTGGATGGACTTAGTAGTTAAAGGAGGGCTGTGAATATCTGGCATTAACTCGATTGCGTGACGAGAATTAAAGCAGGTCTGTGTTGCATTCGAAGTCGAGATGAAAAACATTGTAACCAGCTCCTCATGGAAAGAGTCAGTAGAGGCACCTTGGAGTAACTGCTGCATCGGAGGACTGAGCACGCATGGGAATATCCTATGTACAGTGACGTCGATTGTCATAACACAACATAATAACCCTCATCAACTCCCAACCTCATGTGCACCACTGAAAGAATTTCCCCAAATACATCTGCCTCTGTACCTACTGTCAGATAAACATTCTGATTTCAGATTAAGCGTTGAAAGGCCATACACACGGGACTGGAACCTTCATATCCGAGACGTGCGCTACAGCGACCAGGGAATCTACAACTGTCAGATTAACACAAATCCTGTCAAAGTAAAGACGGTGAACTTGATTGTTTTGGGTGAGTGCTGTAGTCAGATTGTTCATATCGATCACTTTATTTATGGCTGCGTGAATCATCGTTAGGAAGTAAGACAGTTTATGGGTTTTAATATTTAGTATTTGTAGCTTGTCAATTATCTTTTCCTCTTCTTTTTCTCAGTATTCACAGCTGTAAACTCCGACTGGAAGTATTGGTTATTCAATCAGTTTTGAAATTTCGTGTTGTTCTAGAACTTGAAATTGCTCAGCTCTCAGTCAGAAGTGCGCTCCGATTCGAAAGAAACACCCCGAATCAGTCGCCTTTTAAGATGTCCTTTTTTTAGGGAGACAATGGGTGTATCCCCCCCTCCCCACTCCCTCCTTCCACACCTGCACATCATAATGCAGTCCCAGAACCTACAAGGAAAAACGTGTCCATCAGACAACGTAGACAAAGTATCAGATCTTCTTATTGTTCATCGGATGTAAACTTCCGCAGATATCCTGGTCGTTCGACCACTTCTAGATGTTGATCTTGTTCCAGGACTTACTGTTGCGGGCACCTCCATTTTAAAGAGCGTTTTTTTTTTTCTTTTTTCGCTTATTGACTGCTGCATCCTTACCACTCAAGCGGATGCTCTCCAACTTTAAAGGAAAGGTTGATCCTATCTACGTAGACCAGATCTCCGGTTAAGAAAATTATTTGTAGGATAACGGTGAAGAGGTGAAGATAGGTCGACCAGTTTGTGGCTCGGCACTGGCGCACTATCATGTGTGGTTCTAGGTCTCTGCATCCCGTAACAAGGAAACCGAGGAAAACTGATCTTATCAACAAAATTACACGTAGACAGTCAATGATGTTTGTTAACATGGTATGAGAAGTTGACCTGAAATCTTAGTGACATCCGGAAATCTTGCAAGATAAGGAGCACGGTGAAGACTATACTGGACTTGATATATGCATGTACATGAGATCACATATCTAATCCGTTATTCTCGTGATGGTGTGAGATAGCGAATCACCACTGCCTACACTTGACAATAGACAAATAATGATAGTGACATATGACATGACACCTTGTGTATATCGAAGCATATAAGGAAATAAGAATATAGAATCACTGTAACGTAGATTGTTTGTCGTCAACAGTAGCTAAGGACGGTTGAAAAAAAAAATACTGGTTATATATAGAGATGTCGGCGTCTGTGACTTAGGCGTTTCGAACTCGTAATGCCGGGGAGCCGGGTTCGATCCCAGCTGAGGACCTTGCTCCTTGCGTTGGTTTCGATAGTGGTTTCGAGAAGCTGACTATCCAGAAAGAAACGACAAACTACTGGACGTAAATTTGCCTAGAAAAACCACAAAAGCCAAAAATGCTTAGGTGGGTTCTGCAATATCCTGCAAAGGATACACAACTAACATGTGTAGAGATAGGGAGTGTGTTGACATTACAAAAGCCGTGGTATGTCAGTATACTTGTAGTGATATATGTGTGGCAACATAGAGGATGCTGTGTTATCGTCATGAAATAACGGTCAGTTTTTCTAATCTCCTATAGTGAATCCACCATAAACGCGTAGATCATTCACTTTCCACTGTCCTTTATCACTCCAAAGAACACAGATCCTCATCATCGATGATGAACTGCATTTCTAATGTCGGATTGTTTATGTAAGCACTTTTGATGGCTGCCTTATGCTTGTCATGCGTGCATATTCTTGTGGATATGTTGAGACTGCAGTATAAATCAACTGTTTCCCAAGGGACATTGTTTGACATTATGTGTGTTTTTTCTTAGCACAGGAGCGGAACAATGGGATGCCCAGACTTTAATGAAGCGTAAACTAAGATTACTTGGTTATCAGACCCTCAACACCAAATGTCCTATTATTATTGGTTTGCCATCGCGTTACCAGACCCTCAACACCAAATGTCCTATTATTATTGGTTTGCCATCGCGTTACCAGACCCTCAACACCAAATGTCCTATTATTATTGGTTTGCCATCGCGTTACCAGACCCTCAACACCAAATGTCCTATTATTATTGGTTTGCCATCGCGTTACCAGACCCTCAACACCAAATGTCCTATTATTATTGGTTTGCCATCGCGTGTAGCTCACCCCATGTCATGTCATCTTATTCGTAACTAATTTCCTTTTTTCTTGTTATTTAATGTCCCTTTATTTCCTTGCCGGCTTTGTGGCTAAGTCGATGCGAACGCATCGTAATGCCGGGATGCCAGGTTCGATTCCAGCTGCAGGCCATGCGCCTTGCGTTGGTTTCGACAGTGGTATCAAGAAAGCCGACTGTCCAGAAAGCAATGGCAAACTACTGGACGTAAATTTGCCTAGACAAAGCACACAACGGCCAGGGGCTGTTGGTGTTGGTTCTGCAACGTCCTGTAAAGGATACGCAACTAACCTTTTTATTTCCTTAGTTTTGTAGTTTGCATTCTTTACGTCCTTTTTAGGATGTAATATTTTGTTATTTGAAGCCCCACTCTGGCTTTTACCAGGGGCCGCAATATAGGCAGGCCATCAATATGGCCAATTGCCTAAACGCATTTTCTGGGACCTCTCCACGGTGATCCTCATCCACATGATGGCACTTTGTGTCATCGGGTGTTTATCGCTTGTGTGATGTTCTGGTGGGGTAGAAAGTCAGTCAGTCGTTTTGTAGTTTTCAATAGTAAGCTGTTTTTTTATGTATGGCTTTCTCGGCAAGTTTCCTACCACCATTCGCATCTTTTACAGAAATCATGCTTTTGTGGAATAATAATACTAGTTCTTCCGCAAAGCTCTGTCAGCATTAGTTATTCAGTTATACCATTCAATTCCCTGTGTTGTAAACAGGCACCACTCAACTGTTTTATTTTAGCAGATTTTGTGTTAAAAATAGCACCTCTCAATAGTACTGAAGTGATATTAAAGTTAAATATTCCAAGCTTGATACTAGTTTTAAAATGACTGATACATACTGCACTCTCGGCAAAGCCAATATCAAACGACCCGGTTCTGAAAACTCAGTTCATTGCTGATGGAATCACCAGTTACAGCAAATGTATTCATATTTTTAAAGTGTTATTTATCAAAATTCACGCTTGCCTCCTATATATAATTATTTAAACAGTTATTTCCACATGTATTTTTTCTGCATGCTATCTTAATGAAATTGTATGCCTTCACACCTTAGAGTGGGTGTCGCCACAAGGAATTAGGTTACTATTTGTCTAGCTTATTCTCATTATCTTTGTGCTTTTTTTCTAACCTTTTAGACTTAAATATTGTAACCTCTAATTAAATATAAACTATTTTGTATCTGATTTCGTGAATGAGACCAAAAGGGCAAGTCATCGGTGGAGACACCATTAATCTGCTCTGTATGGGTCCATTAATTTATATTTCTAGTCGCAAAAGTGGATTTTTCAAATATCTATAATCTAGGGCAGTCAGTAAAAATACAATATGTGATAATTGGAGTCCCTGTTGCATCCCTGTCGCAGTCGTATTTTTACTTCCACTTGCAGACTAGTTAATTATATGTGGCGAATTGGTATTTTAATACACACGATACAAAGTTGTTGATTAGTTTAATAGTATTTCTTTGAAAAACCTTAACACATGGCTTATATTATACTCAACCCTAGACACCAGATAGACAAGCAAAACATGCAGAAGTAACCTGCAACAGAAGGCGTAGTTTCTGAGTCAAACATTCAATCATTTTTTTTTTTTTTTTTTGGGGTACTAATAATATTAGTCTATATTATTATTATTGTTATTATTCAATACATAAACAATGTGTGATTTTAAAATTTTAAATAAAGCAAGCATCAAGGTTAGTATAAATACTTATATTGTTAACATGAAACGTTTTATAAAACTTTATTGAACTAATCTTTTTCTTAACAGTTTTTTTTTTTAAACTAAGAGCCAGCATCAATGTTCAACATTATGTTGACTTTAGCAATGACGATGCTAGAATATGACCCTTTGATATCATCCTGGTGACAAACCTTTTTTTTATAAATACATAAGAAACACACACATCATCATCATCATCGCTTTCTTAGCGTACACTGAGTGTAATCTCCAGCGGAAAATTCTGGTTGTTCGTCCACACCTGGACTTTGGTCTTGTTCCAGTAGTTGCGTTTTGTGTGCAAATTCGTTTTACAGAACTGGCTTTATTGCATGTAGATTAGGGGGGAATGGGGAGAGGGGGGGGGGAGGATCCCTCATCTCAAGGGCAGATGCATTCGGACTTCGAAGAAAACACCCACAATAAGTCACAATGTACGAATTTCTATTTACGAAGAGAAGGAAGAGGAAAAGTCGGTCAATTCCCCCCCCCCCCCCCACCCCCACCCCATCACCCCAAAATAGGGCACTGGAATACATCCGGAGAACATATTTATCATTGGATATGGATCTTTTCAACACAACTGAACAACATACGAAATACAGTTATAAATATTAAAAGAGACACACTGAATTCATATACATCACTGGATATGGATGTTTTCAACACAACTGAACAGCATACGAAACACAGTTATAAACATTAAAAGACACACAGAATAAATATATAGGAAGTATGGATTCACTGACCAAAAAAGACCAGAAGATAAAGCTGGAGCATAACGTATTTCTTTTTTCTTTTTCTGCTTCTTATTCTTCTTTGTTCACCGTCTGTAAGCTCAGGTGGAAAGTCATGGTTGTTCGTCCATATGAAAAGAATTAGACATCTGGCTTTGTGCCAGGGGCTGAGTTTTGCGTGCACATCCGATTTACTCGTTTATTTGTGTGCAGTTGATTGTTCCTTGCCGCCCAGGCAGAGGTACTCCGACTTCGAAAGAAGCCCCCAGTTCTTCGACTCCTACGACAACGGGGTATACTATTTGATTATGTCTGAATGACTGCAGCACTTTTAGCGAAGGTATATCTATAATACTATGTTGACCAGCTAATTCGTTATGTAGATTCCAGGGCTCTATTCTGGTGTGGGGGAAAAACCAGACCAGCAACTCACAAAAAT